AATGCAGCGGTGACTGCTGCATTATAAATTCAAAACATTAACTCTAACTCTAACCCTAATTGATACTTGTAAAAGATTAATTTACCTTTTTTATTATTTCTCTCTTTTTTTATCCTTAATGTCTTGACATTAACTTAGAGTCTTTGGTCTACAGAATTATTCTTTTGCAATTCTTATTTTACACTTATTCTACTAAAAAATTTTATTTTATGCCTATTTTTAATATATAGGTTAGTCAAGGTGGATGATGTGAAATCTTGCCCATATTGATGACAAAAATCAATCTGTGAAGTTTTAGGCTCTCTTTGTTCTGCAGTTGTGGTTGACAACTTTTTATCTGAATGCTAGTTTCATCTTTGATATAAATGCTTTCAGGTGAGGAGCATGAAACGTGCCAGAGATATAAGAGACCAGTTGGAGGGGCTTCTGGAGAGAGTTGAAATTGAGGTGACGTCGAATCCAAATGATTTAGAGGCTATAAAGAAGGTTATAACATCTGGTAAATGACTTATTATTCTTTGCTTGAAATGATTTTATAGTTGAAGGAAATTTGATTTCCCATAGTCAACATTCTAATTTCTATTTTTTAGGTTTCTTCCCTCATTCTGCTAGGCTGCAGAAAGGTGGATCTTACCGTACAGTGAAACATCCACAGACTGTTCATATACATCCCACCTCAGGACTGGCCAAGGTAAGGTGACAAGTGAATTTGTGACCGCCAATTATGAACCATGGTGTAACATAACTTGCTTTGATATTTTACTCTTCAGAAATGCACCAGAAATACAATTTGTTTTTGAAAAAGAAAAAGCACTGGGAATACAATACCATCTTGTCATTTCATTCAGCTGGTACATGGATTCTTTTGGCAAGGGATCATGACAATAAAGGATTCTAGTGTATTCTTTCTTTCTTCTTCTAGAGACTTTGGACTAAGTTATTCTTTCAGTTTCACAGCGAGCTAGATTCCCCCCTCCTCTTTCTCCTTTGCAAGCTTTTATTTCATATTCTTTGCATGGTTTTCATAAGAAAAGAGGAACAAAAGATGTTGCTGAGAGGGGCTATTTTCACTAAGTTGTGGGTATTGTGATCAGAAAGAAATTCCCGAATCTTTGAAGACTTATTCAAGCTCCCTTTGTTGCGGTGGGATTGATTAGCTTCTTTGGGAGACTCTTTGGGTTAAGGTTCATAGTTTTTTTTTTCACATTGAGAGGGAGGTGAGGGTTGGGAGGGGGGAGGTATTCTGATGCAGAATGGGCTAGCACTAGGTTTCTTGAATAAATTACAAATTGTAATTATAATAAATGTAAAACAATTATTAGGAGTCTATTATTATATTTAGGAGTATTAGTTTAGTTTTAATAATTTAGAATTTATATCTTTATTAGTATTCTTAATATTAGTAGTATTAGATTCTTATTCTTAATTGTATTAGTTTTCCTAATTCTACTAGTTTACTATTTCTTATTTTCACTATATTGAGGCAAAGTTGTTGTTGACTAGAATATTATGTTGCCTAATTAGTCAAAGATATTTTTTTCTGTATTATGTAGTCAATTAGAATCTCTACTATTATGCTTTGTATATATACCTAAATTGTAACAACACAAAGCGTATAAGAAATAAAGTAAATATTCATTCTTCAAAATCAACATGGTATTAGAGCAAAATAAGAGTATTTTAGGGTTTTTAAATTTCAAGGTTTCTCTCAAACCCTAAAATATTTTCACCACCCACCCAAATGGAGTCATAACCTCACCGGTGGCCTGCTGCCCTATTCTGGTGACCTTCTTCAGCCTACCTGATCCCTTTGCTCTGGTCGTACCTGGCTGTTCGCACTGCTTCCTCGTGCGTGGCCTCTGGTTCGCGCATGCCCGGCCTGACCTGACCTATGGAAGAATGTGCTTTACACATGTATAGATTAAATTAAGAAAGTCTGAATATAGTAGTTAGTCTCCCTAGAATTAGGTTGATTTGATTAGTTCCTTTTTTTGTGGTGTCATATCCCACAGATTATGGGATGAAAATATCTCACAGATTATGAGATGTGAATATCCCACAAATTATTGGATCCTGTATATAAACCAATTGTAATTGTAATACAAAGTATACTTTTTCATCTCAAACTATAACATGGTATCAGAGGTTTAGGCTATTTTTTTGGGAACTGAAACCCTACTCTTCATAGCAGAGTTCTGCCTTCATAGCAGATTCTTTTTTTTTTTCTCTTTTCTTTTTCTGTTCTATTGTTGAGGAGTTTTCTGAAACTCTACTTCATCACCAAAGTTTCATTGATTCGCCGTTGCAATATCTTTGACATGCCACTCTGTATGGAATTGTACGAAATTGCAAGCTGGCCCCTGTTTCTGCTCTACCGCCACTGCTGCCAGGAAGCTTTTGTAAGAGAGTACCTGAATTGTATCAGCCTTCATCGCTGATATTTTACTTGACTCAAAACTGGCCTTAATTGCCTTGGGACTGCTTGGTTTGATTAAGAATGTCGGAGGTGGTAGAAACAACAGTTATGATACAGTTGGAGGATGCAGAAATTGTTAGACCTCAAGCCGGGGAATTACAGAACATTCAGGCAGCATATTGGCTGAATGGAAAAAACTATCTTAAATGGTCCCAACTTGTCCGAATTGTGCTGAAAGGGAAAGGAAAAATCAGTCACATATTAGGAACATGGCCAAAACTGGAAGATCCACGATTTGAAGCGTGGGATGAGGAGGATTCTATGATCATGACATGGCTATGGAACTCCATGACTCCAGAGATTAGCGACACATGTATGTTCTTAGCCACTGCCAAGGATGTATGGGCTGCAATTCAAGAAACGTATTCCAAGGTAAATGATGCTGCCCAAATCTACGAAGTCAAAGTTAAGACGATTCCTGCAAAACAAGAAGATAGGATTGTCAATGAATATGCCAATCAAATGAAGGCTCTATGGCAAGAACTTGATCATTATAGGGTAATTAAGACCAAATGTCCCGATGATGCGGCAATTTTGAAGGAGTTTATTGAACAAGATAGAGTTTATGATTTTCTGGTTGGACTCAATGCAGAATTTGATTTAGTTAGAATTTAGATTCTTGGCAAACAGGAAGTTCCAAGTTACAATGAAGTGGTGGCACTCATCCGAGGAGAAGAAAGTAGAAGAGAATTGATGCTTGAACCAAAGGGAACTGACAGTTCGGCTTTAGTTACTAGTAACAACAATAAGATAGCCACAAATGCAGAAAAAATGCCAGCGGTCGAGAATGGAAGAATCAACCAGCCAAAGACTCAAAACCATGACCATGAAGACACTCTACGGTGTACCTACTGCAAGAAGGCACGTCATACTCATGACCGGTATTGGAAATTGCATGGAAAATCACCAAGCCGCGAGTGGGGACAAAAAAGAGAGCAACCAAGGAACAATGGACAAGCCCAAATTGTAACAGTGCAACTGCATGAAGGGATATCACAAGAGATGGGAAATCTCAGCCAAGAAGAAATTGAGAGGGTGAGATCACTTATTGGCAATCTTGAAAAACCATCAGGTACTTGTTCACTGGCGTATTCAAGTAAACTTCCCTTCTCCATTGGATTAAATCTCTCGAATATAGCCTTTACTAACTCTTGGATTATTGACTCAGGAGCTACCGACCCTATGACCCATTCCTCAAAAGTTTTTTCCTCATATACCCCATGTTCAAGTAATAGGAAAATAATCACAGCCGATGGATCATTAACTACTGTGATAGGCATAGGTGATGTTGTCAAGATAAGTCTGTCGCTGTTGTTAAAAAATGTTCATGTCCCTAGGCTAACCACAAATCTTGTTTTCATCGAAAAGGTCACTAAAGATTTTCATTGTAAAGTAGTTTTTAATCAGAGTTATTGTGTATTTCAAGACAAGGATTTGGGGAGGATGATTGGACATGCTAGAGAATGGGATGGACTCTACTATCTCGAAACATTAAATCATTTACCAAGTTAATCCAACACTACCAAGAGCATAACATCTCATTTTCCTGTCTCACAGTCTTTTTCATCTAATAAAGAACAAGTCTGGATTCATCATTGCAGACTTGGACATCCATTATTTAGGATTATTAAATTTTTATTTCCTTCTTTATTTAAGGGTATAGAGGTTGAACATTTTCATTGTGAAGTGTGCCAACTTGTTAAACACAAACTTGTATCTTTTCCAATTAGTAATAAAAGGAGTTCTATTCATTTTGATCTCATTCACAGTGATATTTGAGGTCCTTTAAATATTTCCAATGTAAATGGAGTTAAATGGTTTGTGTCGTTCATTGATGATTGTACTTGAGTCACCTGAATTTTTTTACTTAAACAGAAATTCGATGTTAGCATTGTTCTAAATTTTTGTTCTATGATGAAGACTCAATTTGGGGTCAATATCAAAATATTTAAGTCAAATAATGTTAAAAACTATTTCAATCAAACCCTAACTGCATACTTTTAAAAAGTAGGAATAGCACATGAGTCCTCTTGTGTGGGCATTCCACAACAAAATGGAGTAGTAAAACGAAAAAATGGTCATCTCCTCGATTCAACAAGATCCTTCTTGTTTCAGAAAAATGTGCCTAAATCTTTTTGGGGAGAAGCGGTTCTTACAGCCGCCCATATCATAAATCGTTTGCCTTCTAGAGTCTTAGGATTTAAAAGTCCAGTGGATGTCCTTTTCAAGTTCTATCCAAACCTACACACCACAAATAGTCTTGTTCCTTGTATATTTGGGTGTAGCATTTGTTCATGTTCATAATTAGAATCAGGGAAAATTAGATCCAAGGGTATTAAAATGCGTGTTTGTGGGATATTTTTCAACTCAAAAGGGATATAAGTGCTATCACTCTCCATCAAAAAGGTTTTATGTCTCAATTGATGTGACATTCCATGAACAAAAATCCTATTTCACCGTTCTTATCTTCAAGGGGAGAGTTCAATAATGGAAGATAAGGATAAGACAGATCTTTTGCCTCTTGATCTGCCATCTTCACCACTTCTTGTGTCAAGACAGCCTAGTCCCATGGATGTTTCTACCGAGCTTCCTAAAAATGTTTCTCCCACCAAGCCCACCGACAATACAAATCCGACCATTTATAGTGTGAGATTTAGCAAAGGCAGAGTGTTCTCGAGGAGGAAGAAGGTTGTCCTTGAATCTGTGCAAGTCGAAGACTCCAAACTAAATCTTGAGACTGAGGTAGGAATTTCTATTCCCTTTTCTCAATCTGAATATGAGATAAACAATGATGACCAAGATCTCCCTATTGCTATCAGGAAAGGAATTAGAGAATGTACAAACCGATCTCTATATCCTTTTGCACATTTTCTGTCCTTTAAACATTTTTCACCATCTCATAGAGCCTTCCTTGTTAGCTTAAACAACATCTCCATCCCTACCAATGTATCCGAGGCTTTAACCAATGAAAAATGGAAGCAAGCCATGAATGTGGAGATGGAGGCAGTGGAGAGGAACAAAACTTGGGAGTTAGTGAAGTTAGCTGAAGGAAAGAAACCCGTATGGTGTAAATGGGTTTACACAGTAAAATATAGAGCAAATGAATCAATAGAAAGATACAAGGCTAGGTTGGTGGTTAAGGGTTATACTCAAATCTATGGGATTGATTATCAAGAAACGTTTGCTCCGGTTGCAAAGATGAACATTGTTAGAGT